TACACACACACACACACACATACATACACACACATACATGTACAAAATATTTCATCACTTATATGGACTATTGTATCATATATGTGTATATTTTTTGCTACAAGATATATTGTTTCTAGGATCCTAATCTGTAAACCATTGGATACATTGTATAGATACACAAGCTGCTTTTAATTTAATAGGTGGCATGCAGACTTCTTGGATGGCTGTGACACTGCACACATTTCTCTCTCTCTTTTTTTTTTAATTTGAGACAGTCTCACCATGTAAAGACTGCCCTGGAACTCACTGTGTAGCCCAAGATGGTCTTAAATTCACAGAGATCCTCCTGCCTCAGCCTCCCAAGTGCTGGGATTACAGGCATGCACCACCATGCCTGGCTTACATTTCTCACTCTTAAGGAAGTTTTCTAAGGACCCTCTGTTGCCTACCTACATTAATTTTAGCTTAGACTCAGGATTTGCCACTAAATGGGCAAGGTCTTTCTTTGGATAGGGACACATTGGTTTGGGGACATTTTGTGTTTCCGAATCAAGGGATGTGTACCTAAAAGAGATGGCAGAAGACTGGGGACAGGCCCTGATGGTGCATGCAAAGCAAGGGGCAGAGCTGCTAGCTATTAATGGGTTATGGTGTGATATAGTTTCCACAACTTGCTGTCACCAAGAAATGGATGTGTCACTAGGGCACACCCAAGTAGTTGAGTAATTTCTTGCCATTTTTGCAGAGTACTTAGGTGTCCTAATTATGTATGTGTGTATGACAGATGTGACCACTTGTGTCATGCATTGAGATGAAAGAGTCTCCAGATGACTTAATGTTACTGAGCATGAGAAGGTGTTTGGAGAAACTGTTGCACAATAGATGAAGAAATATCTGTGTATCAGAATCTCATAGCAATCCAATGAGGAGATGGAGGCCATCTACCCTTTGTGATGTTCCATGTATAAAGTGAAAGCCTTTGGCTGTCTTTAGGGGATTCCTGTCTAGTGCTACCTGGTGACTGTGAATATGTTATTGTTAGACAGGAAAGAATTACTGACCAGTTACTTTAACATCATTCCAAATAAATGGTCTGTATACTTTCTTCAACTTACTGATAATGTTACTACCAGTCACCATGTGATTTTCCCAATGTTTTATTCTGTTAAGTGAAAATTTCAACAAAAACAAAACCTACTGATGTCTAAATAAAATGTTCTACATTGTAAGAAATAAACAGATTAAGTTTTAAACCAGTTCATTTATTCCTTCAAGATATCCTGTATTGTCTTTGATAAATATGCTATATCAATTTCAGGTTAGTCCATTTTAACAGTTTTTATTTAGTCATAAGTGATAAACTCTGCATTAACATTTATTGATATAGTACTATTATATATAATAGAAACATCCTAAATTTTCCAATAAGAGTATTAGCTTTACCTGGTAAAATGTGTGTCCTTTACATACATCCATGACAGCAAAGGTATTAATGTGGGCTTCTTCCTTGAGCACTGCTAGTTGTCTGAGTGACCATAATGCAGTCATAGTATGAGGCTGATGACCAGAACAAAGCCATCTAGGTTAGTTACTACAGTTCTTGGATTGTCTGCACCCCACTAATATGGGCCCAAGGTGGCCAGGTTAATGTACAGTGGTTTCTGGAAAGAGGGCTGTCACTGAAGTGCCCTGGGGTCTAGGTGTGGTAGTGACCCTGCACATGTGTTAAGCGTCTAGTCTACACTTTTTCTTATCTGTAACACAGAGAAGCTGTTCACTGTCAGGGAAAAGATTAAAAATCAGGAGGCCTAGACACCTATCAATCTGCCATCTGCCTGCCACTAGTGAGCTACCAGGGCTGAAAACGTTTTCACATTTGTCATCTCATGCATTCCTGGCTGCATTAGGTTTAATTAAAACAGTTGAAAGACAAAACATAAATGAAAACCATGGTGGTGGTGGTGTGTGTGTGTGTGTGTGTGTGTGTGTTCAGATTAATGTTGAGTGAGCTATCTCTGAAAAGGTGAATATCAAGCAGATGGGTAGTGTTATGACTTGTATCAAGATGTCCACACAAACCATCATGTGGTCATAGGTGTGTCTTTTTGAAGATGGCTGGATCCAAGGTGTGTGCTTCTGGGGTCAAGGATGTGATGCTGGGATTTATTCATAGTGAGATGCTAGGATTAAGGCTGTGCCACCCTGGGTATAAGTGATGCCAGGTGGGTAGACTGGATAAGATATAAGGAACCAAAAAAAAAAAAAGTTATGAGGGACAGAAAGAGGGCTGCTGCTTTCCACTTGTTGCTTGCTGCTTTCTGCTTCACCACTTTACTGCTTGCTGCTTCTGCCTGCCAACAACCATTTATCTTCTGTGATGCCCCTCTGCCATTCCACCCTGCCTTGGAGTCTCCATCTATGAACTAATACCTCTACAAAGTGTGAGCAATTAAACTTTTCTTCCTTTGGATGTCAGGTATTGTGTCTTAATAATGAGAAAAGTAACTAAGACAGTTGGGGGGATCATATTTAGAGATAAGCCTTGATACATGGAAAGGTGGCTCCAGGCAGAGTGCAGAGTGCTGTGATTGGTTCATGGCCATCCTGACAGAAGGGAAATGTACACAGCAGGTGTGGTGAGATGTTGTCAGACAGTGTCACATGGCTGTGTCTTGGAGGCCCTCACTGTGGCCCTAAGGAGCCTGGGTTTTATTCTTTAGGGCAGTGCTATGCAAAGCACCTTACATTATAGTGAATGAAGGAAACCACATCTGTCTGGATCCTGGAGGTCACATCTAGGGATGTAGGTCCATCCAACTGCCCTATGAGTGGAAGGAATGACAAAAAAGTGACAACAGTCCTGTCCTCCATTCCCACCTGCTGAGGCACAGGTAAAATGGTCTGCCTCTAGGGTAGGGTCATGATGGGAGGGTGTGAGAATGGAGTAGTGACCAGTTCTGTGTCCCTCAGATGTCTGGCTCTGGAATGAGGGATGGGAATTTTATTTCTCCACCACACCTTCTCTGCCCCAAGGCTGAGCAATAGAGCTGGGCTTGGGGTAAGCCCTGCTTCTATTCTGGCACTCTTATCTCACTGCACCTCAGTTTCTCTGTCCCCCATTGTACTTTCCAGATTCTGATGTTAGAGCTCCAAGCAAGCAACACACCCCATTACTGGGTCCCCTAACCCAAAGTTTGCACCTTTAGATTCCATGGTGGAATATGGATTTCTGTCATCCAGAGCAGATTGTCTTCCTGTTCCTCATATCTCTGTTCATGTCTTAGCCTCTTATAGCCCCCTTCACACCCACACACTTTTCCATTCTCTTTTCACTAGGTAGAGTAGACTTTTGCCTAGGAAAAGATCAGAAACAATGTAATAGTCCACTTAAACCTTTTTTTTTCAGCCCTTGGAAGGCAGAAAGCCAGGCTTTTCCTTTGGTCCTCATAACTCAGTTAGATGAATTAAAAGGCTCTGGTAATTTTATTAATTTTGAAGCTCTATGTCCCCTTTTCAGGGCTCAGAGGGGCCTCTTGTGCAGATATTCTGCAGATTTCTACCTCCAGGGAAGGCATATGTTCCCCAAGAGTCCTTAGAGCCCCTGCAAGGTACATTCACCAGCCCCAAGCAAGGCTCAGTAGACTCTGCTCATGTGACATTACCAAGCAGAAAAGACAGCGTCCTGTAGGTTGCAGGTGCTTTCCTGGGTGCCAGCAATGCAGAGATGCTCAGTTAGCAAGTGACTGTCTCAAGGCCCCAGCCTTCATGTGAACACTGTCTTCCTGGTACACTCTGTAAAATAGAATGGCAGCCTTCATAAGGGATGCACACCATAGTCCTCCAGATAAGTCTAGCCCCCAGCCCTGGGGTGTCCCCAGCCAAGGCCATGCACGTGGATCTCTCACATTCTGTAAATCTGCTAAGCAAAGTACCTGTGCCTTTGTTTCAGATTATCATTTGGAAGATGCTGACAGAACAAACAGCCTGGGAGGAAGAGAATGCCCCATCCCTTGAAGCAAAGAACATTTGCTTTTAGCCTTGAAAGACAGAGTGTTCTCTTTAGTAAAGATAACTGTTTCACTCTGGCTTAAACTAGGCATGCCTCCTTCCTGCCCTGAATGTAGCAGATACCTAGCAGGCTACAAGTGGCAAGAACTTCTTGCCTCTCCATGATTTGTCTGTATTATATTAGAAGTCCGACTGAAGCTTTACATGACTCAAATGACGGGCATGCCAGATAGCAAAACTGAGTGAGTATGGCTCCTCTTCTGTTACCAAGACTTAAGTCCTGATCTGTGAAGTGGCAGGGCTCTGCTGAGTTAACCACCAGCCAAGGTCAGCTTGACTCCAGCTAAATTCTTTCCCTCTGAGATACCCATTTGTCTTCAGTGAGATGTGTTAGTAGCTCCCTTTTTCAGTCCTGCCTGTGATACCCACTATTGTTGCAGAAGGAATTGGCAAGTGACACGTACATAGAGACAAGCTCAATGGAAGTAAAATAATAAAAAGTTTATTTTGCTAGCAGAGGCCGAATTGCACTCAAAAAGGCAGTGCCAGGGATCAACTTCCCATTGGGTTGCAGCTTCCTCTTTTATAGGTTTTACAGTTATGGTCTCAGTTATGATTCAGGTGGTTCCATTTCATTTCCTCAGTTCATATTACCCATGTTCAAATTACAGTAACAAGACAGTTAACTTTAACCGAGATGTAACAATTCCTTGTAGTTAGGGAGGTTATCTTAAGATTCATCTAGCTATGTATTCTAGTGCAAAGGAAGGGGTGTTCAAGTTTAGGGATGAGGCCAGATGTCCCATTTCACAGTCAATGCCTCCAGTGTCTGTTAATTTTGGTTTTTTGTTTGTTTTTTGTTTGTTTTGAGACAGGGTCTCACTATGTAGTTAAGGCTGACCTGGGACTCACTATGTGCCCCAAGCTGATCTCAAACTCACAGTGATCCTCCTGCCTCAGCCTCCTGAGTGC